TTTGACTTTATTTATAATATTAAATTTTTTAACGGCCTGGGACAGGAAAATCTGTTAAAAATTCATAACTTCTTCATCTAAAGTCTATTATTGTCTGTATTTTTACTGTTGTACTACTATTAACGAGACCTTCGATTCTCATTTAGGTTGTGTCAGCTAAAAATCATTCGATCTTTATTTCGAGTTTTTAGTTGTCTACTGCTTTACCGAAACTTAGAAAATTCATAACTTATTCATACGAAGTCAGATTTTGACGTTCTTTTTTTATGAAAATTCTCTGTTTAACGAATACTACGACTTTCATTTAGCTCATATAGGCTAAAAAATTCAGTTGAAAATGGATTCATACGGTGTCGTGTCGGTTCTGTCGTGAAACTTCAATAAGTCATAACTTCTTCGTTATAACTCGGATTTCGATGAGGTTTTCACTTAAATGTTTCTAACGAGGTTCTTTACAACTTTTATTAAAATTAGTTTCACTTATTTCCAACTTCATATTTTCATTAGTTTCAATAATTGACATTTGATTAGAATCTCATAAGACTTCCAATATATTTCGAATGATTCGAAACATAGTTTTACTTCAATTCTAATAAAAATTGTCTGTTAGAATTCAACGCTCATAATCATATAATATTTCATAATATTATTTACTTTTAAACTACAAAACACGATAACTGAACATGTATGTTACAAAGAATTCCTCAATCTTCGGGCCAAAGTGGATCAAATCTTGGCCGCAGTCACTACCAAAGAACAGCAGAGCATGGATGTTCCAACACTGTAGTCGCACATTGAACGAGTTAAAAGGTTAGAAAAAGGGAAAGAATGGATGCAAAGTGAATGATTCTAAGGGTTGAGATAGGTATACGGGATCTTGATAATCAAAGAATCGCATACCACAAAGATTTTATCTGCAAAGTTGAAGCTTTCATCACAGAAGTCAAGAAATTGAAAGACGAACTCCAACTCACACTCTAGACTCAAGAAAACAACTCCAAAAAGCTTATTAAGGATACCCACACTGTGTATGAATCAAGGTATGCAGTACTCCAAGACACCATTAAAGGTTTAAGAAGATTACTCATAGCAAATCAAAGTGTTGACGAAATTCTCCGCCTTACAAAGGAGATTTATCAACTTCTCTTCAACCCAAACATCCCTAACACCCAACACGTCTGTGATCAAATGAAAAACCAATTCAATGAGATGTTTCAAAAGATTTATGGTATGAAGCAATGGTTTCAGGAGTAGTAGGAGCCTATTTCCTTAAAAGAGGGAAATGAGAGTGATCCAAATCAAGAACAAGAAACCAGATAACGAGAAACTTCCAAGTCTAAAACTCCATTTGTTCATCAAACTCCTCCACGTGATGAACCCTGTACCACAGAACTCCACAGAGAACTAACACATCAGTTCTCACAACAAAAATTTCCTCAAAAGTCTCCACAATAGTCTCCATAAAAATCAATTTCATAATCAATCACCTTCTCACCACTCTAAACACATTGAAGATGAAGAGGTAATGTCTTCGGATCACTCCAATGACTCGCTAGCCACAACTCAAAGGAAAAGAGACTAGAGAGATAATAAGTTTTTTGAAACAATTTGGAAGGAACAAGGGTTCGATACCTTATTTGACGAAACATTGATAAATTCTTGGGTGAACCCAACCCGTAGACTTCTGGATGCTGATTATACCCCTCATCTCAGTTACGCAGAACCACCATCAGATGGCTACTGGGACATCCCCATTTCTCAAAACTCAAAGTTCTTTCCTGTTTTTCAGCCTCTTGATCTCAATCTCCCAGATGAAAGAAGACTCCCAATGGAGTTCAAATGTTTAAACCTCTTCCACGCCAAGCATGGATCCAAATTCAAAAATATCTAGTCCAATGATAGACTTAACGGGGTAAAGAACTACAAAGCAAGAAAATTCAGGAAAAGTGAATTTTTTCAGTATACCCTGACCAGAAGAAACAGTGAATACATCAGATCACAGGCTAATTTTGTGTGTATGAACCCTGAATAGATATTTTTGATAGCTGGGGTATTTCAGCTTAAGGCTAAAAAATATCCCAAAATGAAGATTGCCTTCAAAAGGGCATGTGAATTCCTTAAGGCTTTGGTTTGTGACTTCGGTAAAATTGACGCAGAAATACATCCAGTCCTTGCCAACAAATTCAACTTTCCTCCATTCGAGCTTGAACCAGATTACACTAAAGGATTTTAAGACATGTCCCTTGGAGCAACAAGTTACCCGAAGCTAGGGGTTGTTTACAAGAAAGCCATAGACGGTCCCAAGTACTTCATTCATGCATCTGCAATTCACCGTCTAACAAAGAAACAACTGGATGTCACCTTGGCTTCGGTGCAAAGATCGAAGCACACTACCGATGAAGTCAAATTTGAAATTTCAAGGAGAATCTAGTGGCTGGTTGAAGTAAGAAAATTTTGGTGGATTATCATCTGGTTCCTCAAAATGCATAGATGAAGAAAATAGTTAAGAGGTCACTTTAGGGGAAATTGTTGAAACAAAAAGTGACCCTCTTTCAGCTAAGGAACCGTAGACCTGAAGACTTGGTGGTACCAAGAGAAGAGTGAAACTGGAGATTGTTTTTGTCTTATGTCAACTACAGACGTGAAGACCTAACTGCAGTGGTGGACGATACATGAAGACTCTTTTGTTACTTTAACTGAAATTGCTTGTTTGCTTTGAATTATCTGGTGAACCTTTCATGGTCACCATAGTCAGAAGTTTAATATTTGTTTAATCCTTAATGTAACTTCTGGGACTCTATAAATAGAGCATTCATCTTCATGTACTCAACGCGATATTCTGAACTCTTATTTCAATATAAAGATCGTTCATCTCTATCTATTATCTTCTGATAACCGAGTCCCTCTTCACTTTAAGTTGATCACATTTACTAACTTGTATTTGAATGCAAACCTCATTATGAATCAACTTGGTGTCTACATGATATAATTTGTTACTATTTATTTCCTTTATATTTCCGCAATCTAACTCTTCTAACTTATTATTGTTAAGCTAACAAGATCCTTGAGATTAACATATTATTTCGCATTATATTATCTTGTGACTAACGTTTGCTCAAGTTTTTCTCTTAACACCATGTTGCGGTGTAAATTACATCGCCCTTTCTCTCTATACCAGATGAACAACACCTGGATCACTTTTAAACCCCACCACGTTGTGGCCAGCATTTGGACACTCTGTGGTAACTATGAATTGGCGATTCCATTCCAGCTTTGGGACAACTTTTCCCCCAAGTCTATCCTTCATAATTTCTTCGTTTCTTATCTGTTTTCTATAATCTTTATATTTACGTGAAGGTGGGAATATGCTTTACAATTCTATTAAGTTACTTCTCACATTCTTAACATGGGCATTAATATATTAAGTCATAATGTTGGCCCAAAAGGCATAAAATTCTCATTTTACCCTTTTCACCAAAAATACATATTCTCATGTATTCTTTCTCTTGAACTTACTTATTTAATCTCATCTTAGTGACTTAAACTCTTCTTGACCATTTTCATGAAGTCACAACTTCACAATCTCATATTTTTTTCTCATAATTGATCATTTTGCCTTTTGATCAATATTTGACTAAAAGTCAACTTTCTCTAAATTTTGGGTTCTTACACAAAATCTGGTTTCTCTTCCCATCATATAAAGAAATGAAATTTTCAATTGACAAACTCGGTCTAAAGAATGCTTAAACTATTTTATTTTATTGCTATTTACTTAAATTTAAATGACCAGGAGGATGAAGGATTTTAAAGTAGGTGAGAAATTGAGAAATTATGTCGTTCAACTGAAGTGGTTGACTATGAATCAGCTTGATAAAATAAGCTGCTGGTAAACGTCTTTTTTAATTATTAATGAAAAGATTAATATGTGTGTTGGCATTTGTTTATGGAACTTATTGTATGAAGTTCTAATCATGATCATGTCAATCTAATGGGTCACCGATACCACAAAGTTGGTTGAGAACTATTTATATAGTTTCATGTGGCTTTTGGATTGAAATGTTTTAAACTAAATGAATGGTCAATCAGTAGATTGCATAGAATGGAATTGCTTTTTAACTTCATTGTAATTACATGTTTGATTTCTGGACGTGTCTTTGAAAATACATTGTCACTAACAAATATTTGGGTTACCCTTTACTAAATAAATACTAATAATGATGATAACAAAAATAATATTTTCTAATAATAACAATAATACTAATAATACTTGTTATTAGTGATATGAGTCCGGGACCAACCCAATTCCTTTAGTGATCTAGAATAAACACAAACACGAACACACGATATCCTAATATTTGCAAATTTTAATAGATCAAAGCATCAGTGGATCATTGTGATGCATGTGAGGCCGTTTTTTGTCAGGTGTATTCATTTTGAAACCTTCATGTTTTTAGAATAGAAGCCTTTTTTAAGCCACCCGATCACCTTTCTCATAACTTATAAACTCAATGTGCATGTAGAATGAGAAATTAGAAACTATGATCGACAAGATATGCTTTGATTATACTAATTTTACTTTGATTTTTTTATGCAACTGTTTTTAGTTGACTTGCTTCAAGTGTTGGATGATCGTATTCTTGTTAGATTGAAAAAGTGTTATTTACCAAGGTTTAAGGTTAGCCAATGAATTAGAATGCTATTAAACAAATTATTTAATGACAACAATTAAGGTAGGATGCTATTAAGCAAATATTTTAACAGTGACAAGAGTAAAATGTTAAATTCCTTAGGTGATAAGATTATAATGTTAAATTGCTTATGTTTATCCTTTTGTGCCTTGTCAACATAATAAAATGGGATACTATTAAATCAATTAATAAAAGTATACATTTAACAATTTTTTTAAATTCCAAAATACCCTCCTCGATGGGTACCACCCTCTTAAATTCATTACTATATATATTATACCAAAGTTTCCTATTTCTCTAAGTACAACCAAAATGGCGACTGGAAGATTCTTTATAGAAGTCGGGTTACCTGAGCAAAAGTCTCACGGAGATGGCGTTCTCTTCCCGATGGTGTTAAACCCAGTCTCTAAGACTAACTTGAATGTCGAAAAAAAACTTAGCGATTTTCTGGTGGCAATCAAATCTGAAAAACCATTACTGGAGTCTCTTGTCAAGAAAAGAGGCGTTATCCTCTTCCGAGGCTTCCCTGTTATGACGCCTTCTGACTTCAATGACGTCGTCGAAGCCTTTGACTTCCCTCCAAAGCTCTACATAGGTGGGCGGGGCTTACGCTCCAATGTCATCGGCAGGATTATCACTGTGGATTCAAGACCTCCGGAGATAAAAATACCTTTCCATCACGAGATGTCTTATGTAAATTAATTCCTTTATTCTCTACATATCTATCGAACTATCTTTTCTAATAAGTTTAATTGTTAGATTATGAGTATCGGTCCATTATATGATATTCTATCATGGTGGATCGACAAGCTATTTTGTGTTCGTAATTAAAACCATATATTAGAGATACTAATATAGTTTTTTGATTTGATGTATATGCATGTATCTGCCAACAGCTTTCAGACTTCCCATCCAAGTTATTTTTCTATTGTGAAGAAGAACCAGGAAGCGGGGGAGAAACTCCAATTGTTTTGAGTCATATCGTGTAAGAAAAGATGAAAGAAAAGCACCCGGAGTTTGTTGCTAAACTGGAGGAGCATGGATTAACGTATACAAAACTAATGAGCGATGAGGATCATCCATCATTATATGCTGGTAGAGGTTGGAAGTCGACATACATGACCAATGACAAGAATGTCGCAGAGGAAAGGGCGGAAAAGCAAGGCACAAAGCTAGAATGGATAGGGAATACTGCAAAATCTATTACAGATCCGATGCCAGCAATAAGATTCGACAAGGAAAACCAACGTAAAACTTGGTTCAATAGTATGGTAGTTGGTTACAATGACCCTAGAGATCCTGAACACTGTGATGTGAATATATCTACTAAGCTAGCAAATGGTGAACCTTTATCGGATACTGTCATGCAAGATTGTTTGAGAATCATGGAAGAAGAGTGTGTTGCGATACCTTGGAAGAAAGGTGATGTTATGCTTGTTAATAATTTAATGGTTCTTCACGGCCGACGACCACTAGTAACGCCGCCTCGTCAAATTCTCGTATCACTTTGCAAGTAAGGGATAAAAGGAATAATTTGACTTTTTTTATTAATAAAAAGGTGTACAAAAGCAAGTATGTTTTGCACCTAGAAGGCATGTTTTGCACCTATGTTTAAAATTATCTCCTAAATCATAATGTTTCTGCTTTTGTATCTTTACATGATTACTGTATTGTTATTAAGGATATCTTACCATGGATGTCGATAATGGTCTCAAAAAAACGGAACATAAATAGGGTTGTAAATAAAATGAATCATCTTTCATCTATTAAGTTAAATAAAATGAATCATGTTTGATCTGTTAAGTTAAACCAAACAACCAAAAAACACAAATAAGTAAATGGATGAATTTCTTTGTCATGTTTGACAGGTTTACCGAATTACATTATTTGTGTTCATTTGTTATGTTATTTAAAACGTCAAACAACTAAACATAATATATATATATATATATATATATATATATATATATATATATATATATATATAGAGAGAGAGAGAGAGAGAGAGGGGAGGCAAGGAGAGAACAAAAGATTTGTAAGAACTTACGAATTCATAATCAACTTATCATTGTTCAGAATCAAAAACATTAATCTTCTTCAAATTGTGTATTTAAGTCATATATACGTTAAAAAGAAAAAGATTTGACTATTATTTTATTATTTTTTAATTTTTTTATGATTGATGAGCATAATCAGCAGTTGAACGGACTGTTGATGAGCATAATCAACTCTTATACAGTTCATATGGTTGCTGATTGTCCACATCCACAATCCATATAACTGTTGATTGTGTTCTTCTGCAGTCCGTATAATTATTGATTGTGAATACATACAATTTTCAAAAATAAATAAATAAAATTGTCAAATCTTTTTTAAGCCTAGATATGGCTTAGATACACCATTAGAGAAGATCGGTGTTTTTTGTGTTGAAAAATAATCAATTGATTATGAGTTTATAAGTTAACACGGTTTTTTAGTTCTCACAATAACTCAGCCATATATATATATATATATATATATATATATATATATATATATATATATATATATATATATATATATATATATATATATATATATCATGGAAAATGAACAGAATGAAAACCAACAATTTTGGAGTTCGGATAAATTCGATACCGATAATTTTATTCTAGAATTTTATTACCGTATTTGTTTGCTCTTTTGCAATGTGAACTTTGATTTACTTTTAGTGAACTTCAAAATAGGGAAATTATTGAAAAAGTCTTAATATTTCACCTTAATTTACGAAAAAATCTTAAACTAAAATATTTTACAAAAAAATCCAAATTACCAATAAAAATGACGATTTGATCTTTTTTTTCTGGTTTATCGGTTTCAATACTTATTGGGTTTCATTAAAGTCCTATTATTTTACCATAATTTCATTAAAGTCCATTATTTTATCATAATTTGGGACTTATGCGTAAATTATGGTGAAATAATAGGTCTTTAATGAAATCAGGTAAGTATTGAAACTGATAAACTTAAAAACAATGGTCAAATTATCATTTTTACTAGTAATTAGGACTTTTTCATTAACAAATTTTAGTTTGAGACTTATTCGTAAATTAGGTAAAATATTTGGATTTTTCTAAATATTTTCCCTTAAAAATATAAAAAAAATATATATATATATATATATATATATATATATATATATATATATATATATATATATATATATACTACCTAATAAATAAAGAACATTTGTCACATGTCATTTTCTCCTTTATTTGAACACATAGTATTTTCTAAATTTTTTTAATTTTTTATTTTCAACTTGTCATTTTAATGTATTTTTTATTTTATTAAATTAAAATTTCACATTTAAGATGTAAAGTAATATATATATATATATATATATATATATATATATATATATATATATATATATATATATATATATATATATATATATATATATATATATATATGTTAGTTATTTAATAGAAATGATTTATATACGTAATGTATTCAATACAATAAAGTCTCATTAATTTTAATAATAAAAAAAATTCTTATTTTTCTTATAAATTCAAACTTTTCAAATTGTTAAAATTTCATTTTTTTTTTTAAATAAACTTATTTAATACATAGGTCTCACACCTAATAAATATATATCTTTACTACTTATAAAAGAAATCTAACTATTTCTATAAATAGATTGAATATAATAATATTATTTTTTTAAGACGTACAAACGATTAAGCTAATATTACAAACAACCATTAATAAAATAATATTAAATTTTAAATTTGTTTTGATTCCTTATATTTCTCAGCAAAATCCTAATTTCATGGTCATTCAAAATTTAAAACCTTTTCATCCTAATACGCTTCAACAAATATCCTTTAAATGTTGCATTTCCAGCTGATTAAAATATCTCATAGCAGACGTGTGTTTGTTCTCTCCACCTTATAAACCCTGCTATAAATCCCACTGCCATGAAGTATTTCCCTTATAAACCCTAATCGTTTTTCTCCCTCTCTTAGACGAAGACAATGTGTTTTTTTTAAGAAAAAAAGTTTGAAAATATTCCAATTTCTCAAAAAAATTTACCCCAAATGCGAAACTGGGTAAAATTTTCCATTTTGCGAAGACTACAGGGATGCGAAATGAAAATTCTGCACTTTTGTCTTTTTATGACCCCATTTTGCGAAGTTGGACCACTTATATTATTTCTTGAAAAGATCAGGTGCCAAATGCGAAACTCTAAGCTTTCTTCCCCAATTCGCATTTATACATTAAAAACTTCGCATTTTCATTCAAATTCTTCGCATCTTGCATCCATCCGTCTTTGAGTTCATTCGCATTTCATCGCATTAACTGAGAAATTAATCAGTTGTCTCATATTCGCATTTCAGTTGTTTGAGAAACCCAGATACGAACCCAAATGCGAAACCCACTGATTTCAAATGCGAACCAACCAAAAATCATCAACCACGTACTTGTGTCACCAAATGCGAACTGAATATCACCATTAAATTCTCCTCGCATTCCATAGATGCGAACACAATCCAGATCTCCGACTCCAAGCTTGCGAAATCAAAATCAATTAACCTCAAACAAATCGTGAACTTCTTATGCGAACTGTTTTGACCCACAAAACCAAATGCGAACTCAATTGATGTCATATGCGAACTGATTTCATAGATGCGAACACAATTGATTTCATATGCGAATCCACATCCATCGATATGAAACCAATACCAGTTACAAGCAATTAGTAGCAACAACCATCGATCCTCTAATTTTCAATTACTCAGCCTTCGCTTTTCATACAACCCGTCGACCCTGAAAAATCGATAAACACCAAATGTCTCATTTTTAGATCGATTTTCTGATTAAATGTCATATTTGAAGAATGATCGATTTTCTGATTAAATGACCCCATTTTGCGAAGTTGGACCACTTATATTATTTCTTGAAAAGATCAGGTGCCAAATGCGAAACTCTAAGCTTTCTTCCCCAATTCGCATTTATACATTAAAAACTTCGCATTTTCATTCAAATTCTTCGCATCTTGCATCCATCCGTCTTTGAGTTCATTCGCATTTCATCGCATTAACTGAGAAATTAATCAATTGTCTCATATTCGCATTTCAGTTGTTTGAGAAACCCAGATACGAAGCCAAATGCGAAACCCACTAATTTCAAATGCGAACCAACCAAAAATCATCAACCACGTACTTGTGTCACCAAATGCGAACTGAATATCACCATTAAATTCTCCTCGCATTCTATAGATGCGAACACAATCCAGATCTCCGACTCCAAGCTTGCGAAATCAAAATCAATTAACCTCAAACAAATCGTGAACTTCTTATGCGAACTGTTTTGACCCACAAAACCAAATGCGAACTTAATTGATGTCATATGCGAACTGATTTCATAGATGCGAACACAATTGATTTCATATGCGAATCCACATCCATCGATATGAAACCAATACCAGTTACAAGCAATTAGTAGCAACCATCGATCCTCTAATGAGGAAACAGTTTCCTATTCGATTGTGCTTTGCAATGACAATCAATAAAGCTCAGGGACAAACAATTCCATATGTAGGTATCTATCTTCCAGAACCAGTATTCTCGCATGGACAACTTTATGTTGCATTGTCCAGAGGGGTTTCACGTTGCAATACAAAAGTATTAGTAAAGCCTAACGAAAATTCAAAAGGTGATGGGGTTTATACAGCAAATGTGGTGTATAAAGAAGTATTGCACGATTAATATTTTGTGTCGTCTTGACTGGTTGCTTTTTATTGGTTATTTGATGCATGATGTAACAAATAACACCATAGTTTGATTATATTGTCTTCAACATGTACTTTTTTTTAACATAACAATTTTGTAATGGAAACATATCACCGAAAGAACTCACGTGCCCCGCCGCTTTGCGCGGGTAGACGGCTAGTATATATATATATATATATATATATATATATATATATATATATATATATATATATATATATATATATATATATATATATAAAAGTTGGATCGAATGTTGATTTAAATATAAATGCGGAGTGTGATTACAAATAGCAGCCCTTAATTTAGATATCTGAGAGATTTTGATTAATGGAATCCTTTTTATTTATTACTTAAATCCGAATTAGCATTTTTTTTATAATAACCATCGAGAAATTCAAAATTTCCGTCAAAAGGATAAAAGGAAAGGGCTAAAATTGTATGATTCAAAAGAATTCGATTCAAATTTTATAACTCAAAAATAATATGATTGAAAAAAAAAACTATAAATTAAAAATATTATGATCCTTAATATTTTTTTATTTAAAATTTTATAATTGTTGAACATAAAACCTCAAAAGCGATACTAAGTTTAAAAAATTAAAAATAAATAAATAAATAAATAAAAACACTAGTACCCTGAAGTATGTAGTAAAGATATTTAAAAAATGAAAAAATATAATAATTTTTTAAAACGAAATAAACAAAATAAAAAATGAAATTAAAGGCGTTAAAAT